AAGCCCGGAACGCTCCAATAGAAGCCCTGCATGAAGCCCAACCCTGAATCCGAAGCCTTACACCCATGGCTTGGGGTTAAATATCCATTACTCTTCGTAATCAGGAAATCCAGCTGAGCCCTGAACCCTTAACCTATACCTGGACCCCCCCTTTAAAAAGAGCCCAACAGACCATTATTCTGCATACCACTGGGGTTCAGGTAAACCCGAACACCCAAGCCCAAGCCCCGAAGTCCGACAGCTCAGGCTCCACGCTGCCAAGTACTCATCCGTAGCACAGGTGCTCAGTTTTTAGGGATGAAAAGGCCCAGAACGAGGGTTCCCCAAGAAATGAGGTGCCCTTTCGAGGTGGATGATATAGGGATGATACAGGATATTGGGATACATAGGGTTGCTGTTATGGGCTTTTATGACTTTCAATACTAAAGTTTTCTCGGATTAGGGGGTTTATATTGGGGATAATGACGCTGCTATTCATGGGCTTTTTTGCCCCGAGTCGGGTTATCCCTGCGGACTGAATTCTTGTGTTGGGTTTTGTGTGTGGAGTTTAGGGTTTACCTGAACCCCAATGGTATGTGGAATAATGGCCTATTGGGCTATGTTTAAGGGCTTGGGACTATTATTTTACCTACTCTGGGGGTCCAGGTAGGGTTTAGGATGTAGGCCTTGGTGTTCAAGGCCGAAGGTCTGTGGAGTTTTGTGTTTGGGCAGGATTTCATTCCACGCAGATATGCTGAGGCTTCTCCCTAAACCCTACCCTAGACCCTATAAAGCCTAAAGGCATGCAGGGTGCCCGGGGCATAGGGTGTCTAGGCCTCGGGGATAACAAACGTCTCAATACGTGAAGGTTCAGGAGACCTAGTTACGACTCAGGAGTTCAGGGCGTAGGATTTAGTGTTTATTGTTTAGAGTTTAGGGTTTATGGCTATCATCCTACTTAGTTACAAGTGCCGCTTGGCTGTATGTTGGGTACTCCAACTCTAACACACTTATGAGAAGTTACTCGGTTCCATGAACCTCCAAGGAGGGGCATCTGCTTTCCTGGGCAATGACAGCGGTCCTTTCGTGTTTGTGCTGAACAGGTCCTACGTTCATGAAAGTATTGTTTGAGAGATAGAAAATGAGGTGTCCTCGTTGGTATCCTGATAGTTATGGGGAATCAGCTATCTACAGTAGCTGGGCACCCTCGCTGTTGTGCAAAACATGCCAAAGATAGAATATGGCTTCGGGTATATTCAAGTAAGATCCCCATATACCCCATATTATAAAACCCTAAACCCGAAATAGTAGTTTCCATTTCCTTTCCATTATCCCTATATTACCCCTATAAAGCCCTAATATTCTCTCTACTTAAGGGGGACTATAGTTGGAGCTTAGCTTATCTTTGCTCATTCAGTGATTGATCTGCTGGCTTCTCGAGTAGGGGTACCTTTACTTGCTTAACCAATGGAAGAACTTAGAACTTTTAGGCCTCCCTTATTTGGTCTTTATGTTGAAGTTTGAACTTTTTTGGCCCTGGCTATTGGGGAAGAGAGTTTAGGGATTTTGGGGATACACAGGGAATGCAAGAGATTCGCGGAGTCACTTTTCGAGGCTGTGGAAGGAATATCTTGATGCCCTCGGCCATGATCCCTGCTATCATGCAACTGCCCGCGGCTAGTAAGACACAACAAAATTGGCCTTTTTGGCAAGCCTGCATAAATTTGCTCTGAATGTTTATAGGGTTCCCCGTCCACTCAAGCAGGACCCCCTAAAGCTAGGGAGCCATAAGCCTGCGTGCGGAGGTGCTGGATGCTGGCGGCAGAGGTGGCATGGCGTTGGGGATTCGCAAAACTGCCTATAATACTTAAGTTGACCTGCATAAGGCCAGTTGTGGGAGTTGTAAGTAAGTCGGAAGGTGGCAACCCAAGTACAAGTCTCTACTACGAAGCCCATGAACCCTAATCCCTAAGCCCTGACCCCATACAGCCCCATGAAACCCTTTAGAAGGTTCTCTGACAAAGTCCTATGAATCCAGAGATTCATGCTCTGTGGATCTGTTTGGGGTGGCTGTTTTCGAGATTACCTAGAGATTCCAGTAATTATTGAAAACAGGGTTGAGGGCCTTGAGCCGCAACCTAAACAAGAGTGTGTATAGGCCTTTAGGCGCTCGTTATAGATAGTTTTCTCCCCCCCAATATTAACAACCACCCACCTCCTACTAACATTCGACAATTGGAATATTTAATATCAGGGGGGTGAGGAGTTGAACATAAGGCAGAGAAGATTATTTGGCAGCGCTTAATTTGACGAAAAGCAGGGAGTTTTTCCTTGGCACCTTCGGATTTGGATCCCGATGCCATGGGCCATGGAAACTAGCCCGTAATTTGGGCATTTGGGACCCAAAGCCCAAGGTTATGGGGTTTAGGGTTTCAGCCGAGGCTTCGGATATGGAGAAAGTTACGATACAAGCCGTTCGGACTCCTGGGACACCGCGGCTGTCGATGCCGCTGGGAAAGAATTTAGAGTAGGTTCCTAGTGTTTAGAGTTGTGGTTTAGAGTAGGGTTAGAGGGATACCTGGGGCGGGCAGTGTACCCGTAGGGAAGGGCTTTGTACCCAACATTCTGGTACCTTTGCCTTCTTCAAGGGTCTAGGTTGATCTTTATGTAGATGGATGCCTTGGGGTCAGGCTTTAGGGTTTCTTTTAATAAGATCCCCATATACCCCATATTCTATCTACTTAAGGGGGACTATAACCCTAAACCCTAAACCCAAACCCTAAACCCTACATTCTACCTACTCAAGGGGGACTCTGCGGTTAGAAGTATGGGCCATTACTATGGTCGCTTAGGTCTTTTAGGAGGGTTTTAGGGACCCTTAAGGGTACGTATAGGGTATATAGTAGGTATACAGGGATCCTAGGGTTAAGGGCCCATTCGAGGGGCCCACGGTCACAACCTTAGACTATAAGCCCCTGCAGTGGGTCCAATTATCCAGCTAAGTGGAAGCAGAGGGAACCCCGAATGACCCGGGAGTCTGTCGACGACTTTGGGGTTAATCCTAAACACTAAAACCGTAAACACGAAACCGTAAACCCTAGACCCGAATCCGAAACCCTAAGCCTTAAACCCTAAACCCTAAACCCTGACCTTGAGGTTTAGGGTTTAAGGAGCTTCTTGAAGCCAGACGAGTCAAGCAGTGAGGCAACACAGAACGCGCATGATGACCCGCTGGGTCGTAGGGGTTGGGGAGAGCGGACGATTCAAATTTTTAATGCCGTGTGAAGTCCTACATTTTGACTATATCGTCTCTTATGATGCATCCGAAAGAGGCCACAAGTACCCAGACCCTTCGACGTCCTTTTCGGGTAGTATATTATGATATACAATAGTCCTTTACCAAAAAATCCGTGACAAACCCCAAAAGGGAATTACGTAGTAGGCCCAGGATATAAACCCTAAACCTTGTATCCCTCTATACCCATATATACCCCTATATAGCCTTTTATATATATATATGATATGATATATGTATATATATCTGACTATCTACGTATCTATCCCTTTCTAACCCCTGTGTGTTCCCCCAGAAAAGGAACACAGGCGCCCTTGGGTAAAAGTAGACCTTCGCTACTAGCTCCTTCGTATTTCCTGCAGGGAGGAGGGCTGCTATGTGGCTTTTTTCAGAGGGAAATAGGGGTTATATTATGGGATGTGTTCGTGTTGAGGTCCGACCATACCACCTACCACTAAAGGAGCTCAGGAACGGCTTCTGATTGCAGCTTGTTCCAGCACAGACCCTGGCTTTTGAAGTTCGGATCTTTAACATGCAGGCTCTGCAGAGGCGATCCTGATTCTCATGGTTTGGGGTCTAGGATTTTCGGAGTGTAGGGGTTTTAGGGATTCAGGGGCTGAAGGGTTTAGCGTTGAGGGGATTCGGCGGTTTGGGGATTCAGGGGTTCAAAGCCTTTAGCATTGAGAGGTTTACGTGTTCAGAGGTTGAGGGCTTGGGGGGGTTTGGGGGTACAGGGGTTTAGGGGCTCAGGGCCCTAAGCCATAAATCCTCAGCCCTAAACCCTAGTCCAAAAAACAAAAAAACCTAGTAGTTTCAGGGATCATAGATTTAGAGGTTGAAGAGCTCAGTGGCTCAGGGGCACCTCATCTCTCAGACCCCAAATCTGCTTTTAAGTTTAATCCCCTTGCCCTCTGGAAGGGTTTATGCAGGGCCCCTAAACCCTAGAAACCCTAAACCCTGTAAACCCTATGGATCTATATAAGCCTATAAACAGGGCCGGGAAAACTTAGATTTTCGTGGAATTGCACAGTGTAGACATGAAAATGTTGCAAACGCTATCGCTCACCCCCTCGCCTGTTCGGTGCATCCTAAATGGGGGAAGGACATGGTGTTAAGGTGGGGCGGAGGCCTGGCAGCGGAACCCTCAACAGGCCCTCACGGCGGCAGGTCCTTTCCCTAAACCACCCTCCAGTGATTGGTGGCCTAGTCCAACCAAAACGTCCAGAAGGAAACTCCAGGAGTTTTGAGGCTTGAGGCGGTTTATGGTATAGGGACTTAGGGTTTAAAGGGTTTACTTGGAGGGTCAGGGGGACTTAGTAAGTAGGTTAATAACCCCTATAACCCATATAGTAACCCTAGTTATCCCTCTTATTAACCTAGTTACTAAGTCCCCCTGACCCTCCAAGTAGGGTTTAGAGGAGGCACCCCCCTCAAGCGCCCTGAGGCCGGATCAGCCTCGGCGAATTGCTGGAGCTGTGTCAGAAGATACCTTCTGGAGTGCACGGTCCCCAAGACACACCCTAAACCCCCCAAGCCCGAAACCCTTAAGCCCTAAAAGAACCTTGAACCTCCAAGTCCTAAACCCCTAAACCCAAAACTCATCGGGTCTACATCTCCAACCCCCTAAGCCCTAAACTACCCTTAAGCCCTACAACCCTATACACCCCCAAGACCTAAACCTCTAAAACCCTAACCCCCCTGAGCCCTGATCCAAGAGCCCGCCAAGGTAGGAAGAGCCGTTGAGGAAGAAGTCTACGATGCCCCGATTCCGGAGAAGGTTGGATGGCCTCTGTATAGTTAGGTTTTGTGGGTTTTAAGGGTATAGGATTTGAGGATTTAGAGGTGGAGGTTTTAGAGTTCAGTGTCCCTTCAAATGGATTTTAGCAGGGTTCTATTGGATTTCGACTGAGAATTTGCAGAAATTTGTAGGTCTTGGGTTTGGGGTTTCCATAGGGTTTAGGAAAACATATATATATATGTAAAGATAGCATGTGGGGCTTCAGGTGCTTCAGATAGAAGATGACGCGGACAAGCGGCATGGACACTGGGTTAGTGGTTTAGATAGGGGCCTTACGCCCTTCACCGCATAGGGCTCGGGATTTAAGTGTTTAAGTTTGACCAGCACGGTATGCGGATTCCTGGTTAGGATGAAGGATTTTGCCCTAAACCCTAAACCGTGTGGGAGCTCAGAGGGTTGAGGGAGTAATAGCCTTTCACGGGTGTGTTATTCAGGAACTAGGCTCAAGGTGACTGTCAGGTGAGGTCGTAGTTGAAATGGTACCCGCAACCTGAAGCTCTAACTCATGCATTTCGGCCCATATGTTCTAACTCACCGTCTCGTGGAGTCACCGGAGCATTCGTAACCATAAACCCCTAAACGCTAGGTCGCCACACTTTGGATTTTCTGGCGTCCAGGGTGGTAGGGCTACCCCATTTAGGGTTGAGGGTGTCAAAAGTTCCTGGGTTGTAACGTTGCACGCCTAAGGTCGTACCCTTGGGGTTTTAGGGTTGAGGGTCCTCCCATATGAGCCAAGGTAGTCACCCAAAGTTTCTTCAAAGCATCATTTAGACCAGGCATAACCCTTGCCCTGAGGGTCCAGTATACGACAACCATATAATGTGGGTCCTGAAAACAGTAATTCTTACATAGGTTTTGGGGAGTATATGATGATTGCATACTTTGGATCCTTGGGGTAGGGGTACAGGAAGCCTGAAGCGTTCAGGTTTCTGTCCTGGGTTTTTTCAAGGCATGCCAGCCGTTTCTGGTAGGGAGTTTGCGCACTAAATTCCAGTATTGAGAACTTCTGCGCGTCAAGGTTCAAGTGATTTTAGACTGGAGTGAGCAAGCATGAGCAAGGTTGAGCAAGGTTTCTCATTCTCGCGCCATTCAGTTTGAAACTACCCTGGACTTTTCCATGCAACCTCTGCCTGAAAGGTGATCTTGGGCACTGGGCTCCTGACGGCTCATGCGTTCCTAGTTGTCATTATAAGGGCCCAAAGTGCGTGTGTGTGTATATATATATATACATAATCAAAATACTCCCCAAAAACTAAGTAACGACTAGTGTTGTAACGACCCCATCCCCATATG